CACTACGAGCATTAGTCATCTCACCCCCCCCCAATTGGAATAGACTAACCTCTAACGCTCTACGGCAGTTTTCGAAGGTAATCCAAGTCCCTCACAACACCATACACAAGAGTGACATACCAACAATATACTCAACCTCATATACAAGCAAATTCCATGATGTTTCCCCAAATTTTCACAAGCAAGATACATAATAGAACAATTTAAGAAAATATACCCATTTCGCAAATCATGTAACAAGAGACAAGTTTAAAGGAAATAAGCATGAGATCATCAATACAATCATTTTACTACCCAACACAAAGTTCTAGAATTTTCGAAATCAAGATGATGTGAAGATATAGAGAAAAATCCATATTTCCCCCAAAAACTAGAGTTTGATGGATTTCCAACCATCATTTTGTTCAAATCATGGGAATGTTTGTAAACATACCAAGGAACAAGGAACCCATAACAAATACATACTATTAAGAGCCAAATTCTACATGTATAATAACCCTAACATCAATGGACAAGGATGGAAGAAAACCCTACCTCAATGTTCTTAAAAACCTAGGTTTAGTGTGAAGAAGATGAAGATTTGATCTTCTTTGAAGTATAGATCTCCTCTTGATCTTGTGTTTTATCATTCTCTCTTCCTCTAGAGTCCTAAGAGAAGTGGGTTGAGAGTGAAATGAGAGAAATGAGAGTAAAAGCTGAAATCTGTGTTTTTAAACACATAAATCCCGATTTTTTTTTTCCTTTACTGTTCATGGGCTGCTTCGACTTTACTGTTCATGGGCTGCTTCAATATTACTTCGTTATCGGGGCATAACTCTCTCATCTGAGCTCCGATTGAGATGATTCAAGATGCTATGGAAAGCTAAGAAAGAACTCTACAACTTTCATGTTTTGAGTTTTTAGAGATATTGACTGCATCAAGATCTAGATTGGGCTTGAAGTTGCAGCCAGTGCACAGTTCACGTGCACTATTCACTATTTCATCCATTTTTCCATTTCCAATCTACTAAATTCAAACACACATCGTTATACCTATCCCCATTTTTACAACAATTATTTAATATATATCTATATGCATATATATAAAATAAAATGCGGAGTGTTACAAGTAATTAAAATGCTAATTTGGTGGATGTGGTGTCATCTTCTCAACAGATGAGACTGTTGTGGGGCTCTCCTCAAGAACAAGTCTTAGGATGGCGTGGTTGACTTCCTTGCTCCTTACTCTAAAGTGACGTAAATGAGGCTTTTGGAATGACACTGCTTACTCTTTGATGACGTGGCTCTTGGGACCTTGACGAGCTTGAGTAGGAATTCATCCCTTTTGAGTTGGACCTATTGGATTTCGTATAAATGAATCCTTTATTCGAGTTTGGCCCATAACTTGAGTTGGGTCTTGATCCGGGCCTATCATTATTAATGCTTCTGGAGAAGCATATGAGTCAAATGCAACACACATTTGAAGCTAAGATTGAGGCAAAGTTTGAAGGACATGCTAGAGAGACACTTTCAAGGACATGCTGGAGCCTCTTCTGCATTTCATACTTCATCTGGCCTGACGAGGTATTACGGTTTTCAGACCTATATCCTCATCCATTATAGTTTGATGCCAATTCATATTTCCAGATTGTAGGATTATCTTCATATTTCAGACCTATATCTATGCTCATTTTGCACTCGGCGGGTTTTTGCATTGGCCAGAGTTGAAGATTTTTTTTTTGTTCGACTCACCAATTTTTTTTTTTCAACAAAGATAGCACTATTGTTGAAATGTTTGCCCTTTTATAGGTGTGTTTGATTAGTCTGTCAAGAGTTCCATTTTTTGTGGTTTTGATAACATCTAGAGGTGGCAAATGGGTGGGTTAGATTGTTATTGATTAAGTTAAAATAAATTCAATTTATTTTTTACTCAGGTAATAAATGGGTTATAATGTGTTGAGTTTATAACAGGTTAGGTTAAACCGATTAACCTATAAAATAATTAAAATTCTTAATGAACACATTAGTACATCAAAACACACACACACACACATTAGTAGTACACCAAAATATAAAATACACACACACACACTAATACACCAAAACACACACAAACTAATATACTAAAAATAAACATACTAAAATATACACTAATACACCAAAAATACACCAAAAATATACACACATATACTAACACAAAAACTAAAACACATTTAATAAAAAGATACACAAATAATAANATCTTTGAAATTTAAAAAGTTAAGTAAAATAATAAATAAATTTTTCATGTATTATTTTGTGATCAGACTAAAAAAATATAATACTTAAAAAAAATGCGCAGTTAATATTTTGGTGGAACAGTGCAAATAAAGACTTTGTATTTTAGGAATTGTTTGTTTACTTGTGCGGAAAGTATCTTTTCAGGCACCACATTTAACAAAACGCTGACGTTTTGTTTAATA